TTTCGAGGCTAGCACAAAGAACCTAATGAAAATTTTTTAAAATATCTATACAATTTGGCAGGTGATTGCTTTTTAAAGCCGAGTTGTAAACAATAAAGAACTGCCACATCATGCTGACACTTTCAAACTATCAAATCAAAAACAATTTCGGCAGCCGAAGTATAATCAAACTTTATAATCATTGTTAGTGCATGGAGGAAGGAATGGTTAGTGCAAATTTTAATTGTTTTTTCCCCCAGGGTCAGCACAGCTAACAGGATGTTTTGTGTACGGCGTATATCACAACAACGTATACTTCCAATTGTTCCTCTTTCGTTTTATGCTCCAAACGAGGTCCGTGCATAGTTCAGGGCCAATTTCTGGAGTTTTTCCAGGACATCTGTGCTCTATTTATACACACGTTTATTTACATATTCACTGAAAACGGAAATTTGCTTTCCTGGTACGAGGGATAACAGCGGCAATATAAACCCGTGTTGTTGTTTCAAGATTTGAAGTGAAGTCCTGACCATGATGCCTTCACCAAGTCAATCGCAAGTCAGTAACAGGCCATGTAGAGTTGAAGGCAAGTAAACTGCGACTGGGACATTCGTTTGTCACTAGACATCCAGTGATATAACTTGTGATATATATCTTGTGACCCAACCTCGTCCCCAGGGTGTCGAGCAGTACGCGTCCACCACTACCTGCTCTCTCACCCTGGTATTGGATCATTTGCATGTGCAAAATTTTTGTTTTGCAGACGTATGCAAATGAAGAATAGTCTGGTGCCTGCATGCCTGTGCGTTACATTAGCGTTTTGTTTCTGTGTGCGGTGTCTGGGACAAAACCACAATCAATTCGTCGCGCCGTGAGTTACGAAAACACGATTGTTTGAAATTTTAAACTTGCGCGCGCAAATTTCAAAGTTGCGCAAGTAGCAAGTTTGCGCTCGACAGTACTAGTAGTAACGGTTGCACGAGGAACAGCGTGCGCGCGAAGGTTTATTAGTCAGACCCTATTTATATCTAACAGTACGTCTAGATTCCAGACTAGCTGCTACAACTCCCCAGTTCATTAGGAATTTTACTGAAAGGTATGCGACAAGGTATGCAATAAAATTCACGACATTGCAAACAAATTCGCATACGTGTGCGCACATATTCGCGAATTGTTTCACGACATCGCATACGTGTGCGCACATATTCGCGATTAATTTCACGACATCGCATACGTGTGCGCATATATTCGCGATAAATTTCGCGACATCGCATACGTGTGCGCACATATTCGCGATAAATTTCGCGACATCGCATACGTGTGCGCACATATTCGCGAATTGTTTCACGACATTGCATACGTGTGCGCACACATTCGCGATAAATTTCGCGACATCGCACACGTGTGCGCACACGTTTGCGATATGCGATGTCCCTTCAGGGCCACCATACTTATGTGTCACTACATCTACCTTTACTTGTGACTTATAGCCTACTTATGATATAACTTGTGACTCGACTTCTGCATGATTGGACTTGTGATTGAATTGCGTTTTTTTTTCTTTACTTGTGATGGACTCAACCAAAAGTCGGGTGGCTTTTGTGAGGAACCCACTAGTCCAACAATTCCTCTGTCCATGGACCAAATATACTTGCACTATCCAGGGGTGAGATTAGAGGGGAAATGCAAAAAATCGCAAAATAACCGGCAGAGGGTTTGAGGGGTCGCCGAGGGGCCCGTAGTAATGTAGGCTATCTCGGTTATGTTTGTACATGTGTATTTGACTAAAGGCACCCTTACAATACTCATTTCGTTTGGTCTAGGCTTATATAAACTTTCATAATACGGAAAAAAATGTCAGGGATTCCAGATTTCAAAAGGGATTTTTTAAATATATACCTGAATTCGGGAAATATCTGGCCAAAAACAAAATTCCTGCAATACGGAAAAGTCACCCAGTATCATGCATATCCTTCACACTTGGTGCACTGACACATACACATAGTCGTGTAAACTCACGGATGGGTGTGGGTTACTTGCATTGTTCTCATGTGATTCCTTTAGAACTTCCCTTGTGGGGCACCGTTTGACAAAGATCAAATGTTGACGTGTTATTGTTCCTCTTTATTTTGTGAGTACCCCACGAGTATCCCTCGTAAAAAACACAATCACACCCAAGGCAGAAACTGTCTCCCTTAGTGCCCGGCTGAGTGAGACTGTTTGACCTGGCACGTGCCAGAAGAGGGGTGGTACAGAACTCTAACAAGGTCACAATGTGCGTGTGGGTCCGCCAACACATCATCAACACAACAGGAATTTTTGGAGGAAGCTTCCTGTTATGTATCGACATTTTTCTGGTTTCAGGTTTCACGTTTGGTAGACCGCAGTCCGCAATCAGAGACGCGACGAGAGTGAAATAAACATGCCATCGCTTCCTCAATGGAACGCGGGTAAAGCCGCGACATCCCATCAACAATGGTGTCTTTTCAGGATTTAAATGTCATGAACCAAAATACCAGCACGTAATGTAGAGATTCTATACCTAGAGGACCGAGTCTCAAATTTCATCGGGGCTCTTTTTTTCATGGAAAACTTTCGCCACATTTGTTTTTGTTTTCATCCCAAGGGTGGGCGCGCTTTTCAGATACATTTCTCAACATTAAATGCATATCATTCGCTTTTTTATGCATTCAGTTAGTTTCCAATAATAACAACACTCGAAATCCAAAGAGGAATGTTCAAAACCTAACCTGTTGAAGTTTCAGCTCAGTGGATATTACGAGAAAATAGTGAAACCATGGTCGCAACGCCCCCCCCCCCCCTTTGACGCTATGACAAAAATTATTTGAACCCCCCCCCCCCCCCCAACCCAACTGTGACACCATAAAAAATATGACAATTACAAATGTATACTTGTAAGAATGTCCGTCTGTGCACAACATTCGCACAGAGCCAGCTGGGGTACGGGGTTAAGTGTGTGTGTGTGGGGGGGGGTGTATTTGTTCACTATTCTGTAATATAGTGTTTATGATCGTCGAATATGTACAGCAACCCCATTGAAACTCATTGGACAGGTTGCCTTGTCGTTGTGCTGACGTTCACTGGGAATCAATTTTCGTCGTGACGCAACCTCGTTTTGACTTAAATTTACGCCATTTTATAACACCTTTATGTGACTATAGATTGTTTATAATGTAATTTGAATCTTAATTAAGGCAGTATTACAACATCTCCATGTGATTGTAAGTGTTTATAATGTATTTCGAGTAATTCATGGGAATTTGGCAGATTTTTGATAAATCTGACAGATTTTTGAAGTGCATTTAGCAGAATTTGGCCATGACCTTACGGTCACCCTGTCCCTGTGCTCTTCCATGAATTCGATCAAGTCAAGGCCACTACAAAAGTGCACCACCAGTTACTGGAAGAGAGGGACAGGTTTATAATTCAAGTCGGTCTGCATCATAAACTTTCACTTTCCACAGAACTGGGGAAACTGAAACTGAAATGCACAATGAAACCATAGTATGGCATTCATACGAAAGCCCATTAGCGCCACTGCAAGTATATATGTTGCGGATTATTTAATTCGTTATTACGGATTATTAATTCGTTATTACGGATTACTAATTCGTTATTACGGATTATTTAATTCGTTATTACGAATTACTCATACGTTCTGAGTCATTACTCGGCAAGTATGGCACAGGAGTGCAAACGTTGTATGCAAAGATAGCGCCGCCTAGCGGCGCTATATACACAGGCCCCTGGTCACGTGCTCTCCACGTGTGAGAACATTAGACCTAATTCGTAATAACGAATTAATAATCCGTAATAACGAATTAAGAATCCGTAATAACGAATTAATAATCCGTAATAACAAATTGAATAATCCGTTATAACGAATTAATAATCCGTAATAACGAATTACATAATCTGTAACATATATACTTGCAGTGGCGCTAATGGGCTTTCGTACATTCAAGACCTTGAAGAGTATTTATAAATTAAAAAAAGGAGACGAGAAAAGGATAACGATGTTGTTTCCTGGTCAGACAGTTGTGATTGTCTCGACGCCTAAACTATATCAGGATCAGGTTACAAATGCAACTAGCGCCCAACTATAGTTGGACTGATTCCAACTAAAGTTGGACTGTTGCCAACTAAAGTTTGGGCAGTTCGGGCGTAACACCGATAAGGCTCAAATTTAGCCTTTAGTCAAGTCCCACGCGCTTACCCGGACACGTGACGCACCCCGGATGCTGACACGTAAAAAGACTGGCACGAGCAGCGAAGCCGCGAGGCCTTTACCATCTCGTGGAGAACGCTTATTTTTTTCTTCACATTTGTCTACCGATTTGGTAGACATGCATAATGCATTACCCGTTGTGGATTGACCAATGAAAATGCAGAATTACTAACGTAAATCAGCCGTCGTCTGGCGCCAGACAGCACCCGCGCCATGGCGCGCGTGCTGTTGCTGATAACCGCAAACCATTTTTTTTATTATTATTATTTTTTTATTAAAATCCACAAATCGTGACCCAAAGGTCAAATTGCATGCGATCATTACAATTAAACCACCGTTAGATGATTGGTTTATATTGCTTGACTTATATTACGTGAATAAATGAATAAGCGATTAGTTCCACGAGATAGTAAATGCCCTCGCGGCTTCGCCGCCCGTGCTAGTCTTTTTACGTGCCAGCATCCGGGGTACGTTACGTGCCGGATGGTCCGTTTATAGGCGCGTGGGACTTGACTAAAGGCTAGGTCAAATTGGGTGGTGGTGCCGGCGGTTGACTGGGGTGGATATCTTAATTAAACTTGAACTCTTGAACACATGAAACTTCAATTGACGCCTCTAGCTTCTTTTCCCGAAAAACCTGGATTTTTTTTTTTTTACATCACATTTAGCATCGCAGCAACACGGGGGTGATGGGATGGGGGGGGGGGGGGTCGGACAGTGCACAGTGCATTATGCAGCTAGAACTAATAAAATAAATGTGAAAGCCACTTACATGTAGTTTGCGAAACATGACCAAAGGACCGCGCATGCTCCCACGATGTAACGGTAGAGTATACAGCCAAGAAAGTGATAAGGCGGCGGTCCCCTTCACGGTACATAACGAGCCAGAAAGCCTTTACTGCATTCTACAGCTAACACCACGCTAATACAACTACCGTCTTATTTTAACAGCCGCCATATGGAGAACTTTTCCACCCATATGTGTGCAGAAAATCAAAGCCCTGCATGCTCAGCGGTCACACACAGGACGCATTGGCCCGGCGACCTTCACAGCCCCACTGCGTTGACGGGACTATATACATAAACAGCAGGTCGATCCTCAGAACAAAAGCGGTGTCTGATTTGACAAGAAAAGTGCCCCTTGTTCTTCTCAACCAATCAAAACGGTTGTTACATGAATGGAAAGCTTATTGCGTTCTCTTTCAGAAACCGTGCGAGGTAATTGTATTAGACCGGACTCACACGTGTGCTGTTCGAAGAAGTAAACCCGCACCCTCAAAAATCGGGGAAATGTGCCGTGACCTCCATAGGAAACGTCTTTGAAACGGATACGCTTGATTAGTCTCAGAATCAGACTATTCACGTGTGCAGAGCCACGGGTCGGACGTCCGATGTAAACGGTCAAAACCCATTTTGTCCACATGCAAAACAAACAGCATTGCGTGCACAAAGAACTGCCATTCGGATGACCATACATGCATGTGGACAAACTGGTCTTTGACCATTTTTATGAAAATGGCCGTCGTTTCTTAATTTAGGCTTTATTTTCTTAATTTAGGCTTTATTTTCAATGTTACATTTTGGGGAGCCCCACACTGCATAATAACAAGGTCATAAGCTTCTGCACTGATGGCGCCACACTTTATTTACACGTGTGCTTTCTTAGTGGGAGCCTGGTTCAGCCGTGTGGTTGCGAAGGCCTGAGCATCTGAGCGAGTCAGAAAGCAGTAACTACTTGAATGGTTAAGCTGACTAGCGCCCTCTTGTGAGTTATGTTTATCAAGGCTTACTATTCGCTCGTACCCACCCCTACAAACAGGACGCTGGGAAGGGCTGACGAATTAACGCTCTGATTGGATAGATTTTGCGTGACCTGTGACCTTGCAAGTATGATCACGACAACGACCTTGCAAGGTTTCAAACAGCCGCTAAGACTGAGTCATTCATCACTCTTTTATTCCCATTCATAAATGCGGCGCCCTTTTTTGGTAATTGAAAAGCATAATCATGAAGGGAAATCTGTAAAACTTATCTGTTTTGTAAATTTTCAACTCCCGTCAGTTGCTCAGGCTCCGATTCGAATTCATGAAGGGTCGACGAAATGCCTATGATTTGACGCTCAAACTGTTGTCCAAATGATCCGCAATGAAAAGAAAGCACATCCGGTTATGGTGTATATGCGTTTCTATGGCAAACTTTTCGGATATTATTTGCGCGCATTGGCTAACCGCAGTCTACAGCTGCGGCTGGATGCTTTAGGTCATGATACATAACCTAGAATGCCATCCCCACTTCCTTCACAAGATTGTGTGAAACTCATCTGCCCTTCCCAGCGCCCTGTTTGCAGGGCGGGGGGTACGAGCGAAGGCTTAACTTCACTTTTAAGGCACAATCATATTGTTCACATATACAGCGGATGTGTTCACAAAAACATTACCTGCACGTAATAAATTGGGAAACTTGATCGTTATTTACTAGAGACTAATAAAAAGAACGAGTTTCAATATAGGACCAAATTAATGTTGTCGATGTGTCACTGGGTGAGGGTTAGGGTGTGTCACTGCATGGGTAGAGGCTAGCCCCATAAATGTGGCCAATTTACTGGACTACCTCCGTAAAAATAGGCCACACTTCCACCATGTACAAAAACGTGTCGAACTTTGTCAAATTTTGATTTTCACGTTTAGGCTTAGTTTGTAGTTTATTTTTGCTTCAGAAGCATACTCACCCTCTTTAGGCTAATCAGAAAGTGCTGCCTTTTTCAGATGTCTAATTTTCGTGAAATGTCATGTTTATACGCAAACGTGAGAGCAAACTAATCTGTAAATTTCACGAAAAATAGACATCTGGAAAAGGCAGCACTTTCTGATTAGCCTATAAAGAGGGTAAGTATGCTTCTAAAACCAAAATAAACTACATAAATATTCAATTTTCGTTCTATATATATTTGAGTTACGTTCAATATATATAGTTTTTCGTTCTATATTCAATTTTATATATTTATTCTATTTATTTCCTATTTATCCTGGGTGATCCATTCAGTGAGAAAAACTCACTGATCTCCCATGGATCCCAGCTCACACAAAACTACTATTAAAATACAATTAAAAGTACAATGTAAGAATGTTAAAAAAAATCATTGAAATAAACTTTCGTTAAATTTGTAATAAAATTGTAATAAAATTTTCGTTCTATATATATACGAGTTATGTTCTATATATATATTTGTTTCGTTGTGTATATATGTGTTTCCCAATAAAGTCACATAAAGGCCGCCTCATAGTTGACAGGGGATAGTAACCAAATTTGGAAGCGTGAGTCACTACAAACTTCTATTCACCTACGTTCCCTTGTTTAGCCTTAAGCTTTCGTTGCTTCGTTATTTGGTATATTTTTGATTAAAAGTTTGATCAGAAGAGACTATGGAGCAGAAATATGCAGTGACCGCCTACAGCATAGAAAAGATAGGCCTATTCATGCCAAATTGTATAAAATATTCAACTGCAGTGTACAAATTTTTTTAATGAGCTTAAAAGATTAAAAGATCTAGCTTAAATATGCAATGACCGGGGCGTATGCATTTTTATAGCTGCGTAGTAATAAACTTTCTTAAGGTCACTTGGAAATGAAGAAAGCTTTGCATCTTTATTAGAATTGTAGTAAAAGTTTGAAAATGCAGTTACATGTTATGCCAACGTTATTCACCTACGTTTCCTTGTTTAGCCTTAAGCTATCGTTGCTTGTAATGGTAAAAAAGTTGCATATTTTTTTGATTAAAAGTTTGATCAGAAGGAAATATGGAGTAGAAATATGCAGTGACTGCATACAGCGTAGAAAAGATATAGAACACATGCCAATTCGTATAGAATATTCAACTGCAGTGTACAAGAATTATTAATGAATCAACAGATTAAAAGATCTACCGTAATTATATGCAGTGACCGGCGCGCATGCATTTTTATGGCTGCGTAGTAATAAACTTTCTTAAGGTCATTTGGAAATGAAGAAAGCTTTGCATTTTTATCAGAATTGTAGTAAAATTTAGAAAACGTGCATGCAGTTACGTGTTATGCTTTGGCTTTGTTCACCTACGTTTCCTTATTTAGCCTCAAGCTTTCGTTGCGTTCATATTTGGTACGGTAAAAAGGTTGTTTAGTTTGATTAAAAGTTGGATCAGAAGGAAATATGGAGCAGAAACTGCCTACAGCATTGAAAAGATATAACACAAGCCAAATTGTATAGAATATTCAACTGCAGTGTACTTACAAGATTAAAATATGAAAAAAAAATAGTTACTGGCCTGACGTTTCGACCCTAGCAGGGTCTTTCTCGAAGGCTTAATGACAAGACTATAAACATAAACAGGTACATGTATACATTACTGATGTAACAAAAGCAGTCAAGTGGAAATAGATGATGCCGAGGAAAATACACAGAGAAAGCAGGCGGCTGAACAGAAAGGAGGGTAACAAAAGGGAGGGAGATTGGGGGGAATGGGATGGTTGACCACAAGAGGTGGGGAACACAAAGGACAAAGTCAATGATGGGGAGAGGCCGAGAGGGAGAGAAAGGTAGTTAATTGGTGAATGAGGCAGACTGGAGGGGGGGGGGCTTATCTGTGGTGAAAAGGAGAAGGCAAAGACAAAAAGTTATGAGTCATTTAAGATTAAAAGAATTAGCCTAAATAATGTGTTGACCGGGGCTCATACATTATATTATACATTGTATTGCTGAAGTTGTCAGTTGGAGGATCCTTACTGGGCCTTCAGTTGAAACTGTTTCAAAAGTAGTGGCACATACTTAAGGCAAAGGCATAACATGCACATTTTTCTCAATTTTACTACCATTCTCATAAACATGCGAAGCTTTCTTTATTTCCAAGTGGCCTTAAGAAAGTTAATATACATCATAGTTGATATTTATTCAGTCCGGACACGTATTCGTATACACTAAAATACATTTCTGAATATCACATCATGCCCCCACCTACTCAAGACTTAACAACATGTCCCTGATTGCCCTGTTAAATGCTAATCCTATTTGCAGTATTTCTGATCACCCTGCCCCAGCCCAGCCCGAGCTAGACAGGGATTGACCTCAAAGCCTTAACAAGACTTCCAAACCTCGACTTGATACGACAATAATAGAGTCTCCAGACCATGGAGGAATATTCCTCCATGTCCAGACAGACAATGTTTTTCTGTGTGCGAATCACTTTGGCCACGGCTTGCTGTAATGCATGTGTCTATGGAAGCAGTCATAGTGCCATAGTGGCGTAATGTTGACAAGGGCTGTGGACCCTGGGTCATTATTTGAAGGACAACTCTCACATTGCAAACAGATAACTTGAACCAAAGAGCAAGGAACTCTCTCTACACATCCTACTTTAATTGTCCGTGTTCATAGCAAACCATAGTTGCAGTGCTTTCCTACTTTTGATGGTTTATATTCTTTAGGAGTTCTATCGGAGTCTTATAATATAGCGCACGTATCTACCAACTATTAGGTAGGCCTACTCAATGCGCTGGAGATATGTCTATTATGAGAAATATGAGACCCATTATGTAGCACCTTATAATGGTTTATAAGATGCTGCGATGCATATTGCAGCCACTGCCAGAAGCACCGGGGCAATCCCTTTCTCTTAGCGAAGTGTGTTACTGGGTTCTTTAACATGCATTACAGAACAGACGGGACCTACGGCTTTACGTCCCATCCGAAGGACGAAGCAATAATGGTAAAGTGCCTTGCTCAAGAGCACAAGCACCATATTCCCACGGTCAGGATTCGAACCCATGTACCACGGCACACGAGTTGAACACCGTAACCATTGGACCACAGCACCCCACTGTTTGTGTAGAGGAAATGAATAACAGTTTAACAAATGAGATTCGTTTAACATATGGCACAGGGGAGGGGGGGATGTGGAAAGGCCATGTGCATAAACAGGTATCCCATCACAATAATTCAATAATCCCAACATATTGTAAATGTACCAGCAATAATACTCTAATTTTCTAAGGTGAAATACTTTTTCCGTGGATGGTTGGAATGTGTGTACTTGTTCTACATACCCCCCCCCCAACCCAATGTCACCCCCAAAACCACTTGTTACTCCCTACTATTCTATATACTTCCCCCAAAATTGCCCAGCACCGAATTGTATTGATTCATTAGGGACTATCAGACTATGTAGCACAGTGCTTTAACAGTTCAAGTTCTTTATCACCAGTAATTGCTTTGAAGTTCCGTTATTGCCCTCATCAATATTTCGAAAAAAAAATTTTGCAACCTGATGCCACTTTTTTTCTTCATATATCATCTCAGTTAAGGTCAGTCATTGCAAAAATGATGATTAGACATGAATCTGGGACTAAGAAACATTTCCAATTTTGTTAGGAAATACTTAAAAGAAATTCTTGACTTGCCATAGACTTTGTACACAATCGCGGAAGTGGCGTCAGGTTGCAACATTTTTTCCAATATTTCTTTGTATTTGGAGGGCTCTTCTACACCTTTTAAAATAAATGTCTTGTATGTAAATCAAGGAAGGAGTCACTTCACTTTCATAGGGACTGCTAATGATTAATATTTTCATCAAGATTCATTAATGACCCAAGATTCTTCAGGGGAGAATGTGGAAGGACATCTTGTTCCCTTGCTGGGAATGCGCATGCCCACAAAAACAAGAATTGTTTTCTCAATTGACAAAGCAATTTGGAGCTGTAAAAAAGTGTGCCGCGTATTCTGGTTCATGCGCAAACATTAGCACAAAGACCGCTGACGTCACACTTCGGCATGCTATTGCATGCATTACAGATACCACTTTAAGCATTCATCGCTGTAGAAACAGGTTAATTATTAAATGGTAAATTTATAGTTGGATCTAGCATTTTAGAGTAACTTCTGGGGGTAAGGAAATGGGCAACATAGAATACGTGCATGTATAAACCACTGAAACAAAAACATTGAAAGGAAACAGATTCACCTTTTCCAGATTTTATTACTTAACTAATTGATAAACAGGCTTTCAGCTTCAAACATTCAAGTGTACTCGTAGTGGGATTGATCGACTCCTTTACAGATAGTACAATTTGAGTTGTTTTCCTGCAACAGCACTAATGTCGCTTTCATGAACATTGACCAACTGTGCATTTCAACCATTGCAAAAAAGTTCCGCATTGTATCCCACTACCGTACGAAGCACTGTGTGACCAGAACCAAAATGATATACACATTAACCTCGGCTGGCGAACACTAAAGATCCAATCGTTACCAAAAAAAAAGTCAAGTTCTCTCAAAATTTGTAAAATATTACAGATGTCAGAAAAATAACCATATTGTCATGAATGTTTCAGCCAAACTCAATGCAAGGGTGTAGCAAACAAGTGGATCCGTCGAGATTATTTTTTTCCCCGTTTTTAAAATTGCTCAATCAACCAGTCTCTGCGAGCAGTCTCAGTAAACTTGGTCAATCATAACCAGAGACAATAAAGTCAGCTCTCTTTAATCTTGGAAGACCACAGCATATCCTGGTTGCGGAAGGCACTGGATGACGACGACGTTGGTTCTGTCCAGAACCGTTGTCCGAGGAAGTTGTGCCCCTCCTCGGTTTTGTGGTGGGATGTTGGGCGACAGGAAGCTTGGCCAGGGTGCCTTGTACCATGCGGACTTGGCGTTTCTAACATGGCATACTCCATTCTTCAATTGTATAAGCTATAATTTTTGTTTGTTAATTTGTACAATGGTTACAGCTGCCACAGATTTGCTTTATTCTGAGCAAGTAAGGCAACTGAACATGATAGATAAGGCCCAAAAAAAAGTCTCCGGTTTCTGGAATGCGCGCGCGTCGCCGTAGCCATGCGCGTCGGTAAAATGAAAAAGGTTTTTTTTTAATGAAAGATGATGTCTCAAACCGCCAAACTCACTGGTTTGACTGGAATCCTGCTGCTGCACAATTTTAACGTGTTTTTAGATGGGGTTATGATCGAGAATAACCGTTATGTGGCCTCTCTGGACTCCCATTATTTGCACGAAGTTTAGTCTGGCACCATTTGCAGTCATCAGCCGACATTTGCAGCAAAAAAAAAACAGGTAAAAAAAAACAAAAAAAGCCGCGTCGCCGCGCCCTTTTTTGGGCGAGCTCCATACCAGAAACCGGAGACTTATTTTTTTGGAGCCTAACTGGCTTGTCATCGGTTCTGCAAAGACTAACAAAGTCTCTCAAAGATGGTTTCCGACTTTATTACACCAAAATAGTGCATTACACCCACTACAAAATCCATAATGCCAAATAACCCATGCCTTGCACTGCAGTATTAAATTCGAAAATTACAAGGTGCCTATAATAACATTGGTATATTGGTAGTCCACTGTTTATTGTACATGCTACTCGTTGAATTACCAAGTACTTTGGAAAGTAACAAGAACAGGCGTAACAATGTCAAAACATTCTCTGCATATACGATGAACAAAACAGTGTGATTGACTTGCCTCCTGTCAAAACAGTGTTAAACAAAAACCTGACCCTTTAACCAACGTATACTATGAAAAACAAAGACTAATTTGTAGAAACATTTTGGAATAATTAGCCAACTACTGGTACTAAATACCTAAGGCAGTCTTTTCTGCTGCAATTGCTGAAAAGAAAAAAAAGAGAGAACAATTACCATTTTAACAAGTAATTCAATTTGAATGTTTTCAGCACACTTGAAATTGGACTCAATTTATTTCAACTTAAAGAAACCATTTTGGAATTTGTCAAACTTAGCCTCTTCACTTGGATTACCTGCTGAAGCCTGGAATGGCAAATACAAGTTTTGTAGGACCATTCTTTAAAAACAATTTATTGATGTTTTGTGGACTCTGTGCACTTAAGTACCATCTAAATGGTAAGAAAGGGAAAGTTGGGGGAGACCAACGGGAGCTACATTCTACCGCATTCATGACGACTTTCTCACCAAGATGTTATGGCTTTGTGCACATTTAGAATAAAATAAGCTGTGCGTACTTTGTGCTATATACGCTGGGGGGGGGGTCAAAAAGCGCCCTCTCTTGTTCACGCACAGAGCCCATTGAAGTTCATGTGTATTGACACAAGGAATGTTGCAAGTAAACTCACAACACATTAGGAACTAACAAGGATCGCATGCAATCTTGGAAAAAATTCCGTACTGGATCACCACTTTTAAAAATTAATTTTCAAGCGCCAAAAGTTGCATCTTTTATGGTTATTCACTCCTCTACTCTCACCCTCTCCTTTCCTCTATCCCTAGTTATTAATCAGTCACTTACTTCATCGACATTCGAACCTCGGACTCTTCAACTGCTTCAACCTAGTTCTGCACGACGTGTGCATCCAAAATGTGCTCTAAAAACACATTTTGCCTGATTTTTTTCGCATTTCCAGAGCTGCCTGGATTCCTCTTGGGTGAAATCACAAGGTGAGGTGAAAATTGATGTGTTTGGCGGCAGGTAAAGTGGTGAGCCAGTATGGAATTTTCCCGCAATCTTTTTTCAAATCCTGATCCCCAACTTCATCAAATGACTCAAAATCCCATCTCTTATTAAAAAAAAAATGACTTTTTTTATCAGTGAGGTGACTGTCAATGACTCTACATACTTTCTGCGGTCGGTAGTTTGTTCTTCTCGTCAGTGTCCGTCTTCTTCAACTTTGACTTGTCGAATGTCTCGACAACTTTTACATCTGGTTTGTCACCCATGTTGGAGGTTCTACAAGAAACAGAAAAAAACTACGGATTTTATGATTCACAGAAAGTCAACTCGGTGAACAATATGTAATAAATAAACCACAACCAACATCTAAAACCATTTTTTTTTATTTGTCAAGAAAGTGGTTCCAGGATTTTAGCTCTGATCATTAATCATATGATGTAAACAATAAGTGATTCGAAATACATGTAACATATAAGTAAATATCCCATTTTAAGAAATGTAAAAGAAAATACAGTCAGACTCTTCCAAGATCAAATGCCATGATCCATACTGCTGACAAATATTGTAACAATGCAAGGAAGATTATGCAAAAGAAAAAAGCTAGCAATACAATGTAGTAGTAGTGTAAAATGAATTTGGGACCGTCTGATCAACTTTGGCCCAATTTCCAGACACCAACGTTTTAGACGTCGTCTGCCTTTTCAAGACGAATCTAACGTTTGAAAGCTATTCTAGGCCTGCAAAAATCATTGCATAGTAGGCCCCTAACTCAAGCTTCTTAAAGATATGTCTCCAGTGTTGCAATGATTAACCAAGTTCGTGACACTCTCTGAAGAACGCTCATGAATAGATGAAAGCCCGAGCAGCCGGCAGCCACAGCAATGAGAAGGCGTAGATGGGGAGTGGCAATGCGACTTGCGAGTGGTGAAAGTTGAGACAAAGTGCGCAGTGCGCCACGTTAGTTGAGAAATTCATTAGTCTACTCTGACATCATGCTAGTCTACAGCCAAAAAAAGGAGTGGAAAACAAAGGAATTGAACGTCCGAAGTCACAAGATAAATGGGTGTAAGTTTTATGAGTTTTTAAGATTAGTGCGCCCGCCACCACCACTGCCATGCATCACGCCTGCGGACAACGCCCACATTTTCTTTGGATGTGCAGACCCTGGGCCGCTGTAGCTGTAACCGCAAGGTCCAGCTTGCAATCATTTCGTGCATGCACAAGCGTGATGCTAGAAAAGCGACAAATTAAGCGCCTGTACAATTTAATGATCTGTTAACTAAAACAACGAATGTGTTATTTACCTAGTTGGCTTGTGTGTTCCGGACAAAGCAAGGGTATCTGCTTCTGAGAAAGTGAACTCGTGTGAGATTGATTCACTCAGCAGACAGCTTTTATACCGCGTGCAAAGACCGCAGTACTCATCATAAAATCATATCACACATGCTCCGCGCGCCGCCGCCGCACCCAGCCTACGCGCTAAAGTTTGATACATGCGCGTATATCAATCCGCGGTAGGTCACGCGGGCAAATAAAATTATTACAAAAGCTAATTCTATCTCCCTGTTGAAATGTATACATTGTATAAATTGCACGTTCCATTTGGAATACGGCTCATTAAAGCGCCCGCCCTCCCAATTCACACGCACGTTCATTCACGAAACATGCCTGCATTATGCATAGCTCCCAAGATCCCTCTCCGACATCCCCCTTTTAATTAAAGTAATTGACAGCTAATTAAAAGATCATGAAGCCATTGCAAAAAATTAATGCGCACGTTTGTAAAGTTCCACAACATGTACGCAACAACACTGGATTATTTTTAGATGCATACATCCGATTCTACAATTTAAAAGTATTGAAAGCAAGACAGATCAAGCCACAATGGATCGTTAAAATCAGGGGAAATAAAGAAAAGAAGAAGCTATGCGACTAAAAATAAAACCTATGGAATAATGTTGAACAGAAGATCAAAGAGTAGACCTCATTAGTAACTTGTGTGCAATCTTCGAAATGCGCGCGCAGTTTGCTCTAAATAGCCAGTCAGCAGCGTTTTTTTTTTTTTTGTACATCACGGTCAGGGGTTAGTGACGGAACGCGCACACGCTCATGGAGCCGAGGCTGGTGAAGCTCATCATCCCTTCCCAGCGCCCTGTTTGCAGGGTGGTGGGTACTGACGAGCGAAGGCCTACTACCGGTCAGCATGTAGGGCGCCCTCAATTAGATTCCTTAGTTTCCCATTTTTGTCCGTACCTCGTTCAAGCATTTTCCAATCCAAAGTTCACCATTTTGCTTTCATAACAATCCAGGTTGACTAAAATTTCATCCCAAGTTATCCTTAAATCATTCAAGATCATTCCTGTAAGTGATTTTAAATAAACCAGGGCAATTCTCACGGGGAACCATACGGGACAACTGTGACCTTGAACACAGGACAACCAGAACAGGGTGGACTAGCTGACGGTTTAACTGGTTCACTTTCAGCCCACCAGTTTGCCTCATTTAATGAACATTCTACTCGGCTTAAACCGGTCTCAACTTTTTCAACAACACTTAAATAAAAGTACGCTTATACAAATAAGTTTGTCAAGCAATTTCGTTTAATTATATTCCGTTTTTACTTGTGCATTTAAAAAAAAATACTTGCCAATTTTATGCCTACGCCTGAATAAATCCCCATCATCTGATCGGTACGTGGGCAGTCGATCACGTGTCATTGAAATATTACCCACGGCCCGGTAGCACCGCAAGAATAGAAGTTCTATTTCACGGTAAATAGATGTTCTATTCCACGGTAAATGGAAGCTCTATTCCACTCAGGTGATGAGGATTTATAGCATTGTATAAAACAAAACAATGTTTCACATTCGTGCGATGGAAAGATTTATTTCATTCAGTGATAGATGGAATGTTCCATTCCACTCGTGAATGGGACGTTCCATCTGTCACCTATAATAAAACTCGGAAACATTCGATATTTTGTATAATTACTGCGCGCTACCATTACAAAATGCTGTGTGTTTCGAACTTGCAATATCAAGCGTAAAGCACCCTTTTCACAGCAGTTCAACTTTCCACAAGATTACAAATTAATCTACATTTTAAATATCTGGAAACATAGGAAACAAAATCACAATTGCATTTCCAGTATAAATGACGGAAATAAAATCAGTCAATAGTGTCTTTACTGGACAAAAAAAAAAACATAAAAACTTTATCAATCAAAAACATTATTGGAACATTTCTCTTCCGAATGCAAATACTAAAAAATCAGCAAATAGTTATACAGAAGGTCAAAACGAAGTAACATTTCAAAAGAATTAACGAACACTTTTTACGATTTTTTTCTCTCTCTCAATATTAAATACAACAAAGAGTTTAGTCGGATCCCTTGACAAAAACAATGACCAATTCAAGAGCGCATTCCAATTATGACGTACAGGTTGGAGATAGCTGCACTGATCACCGAAAGAGCGCCCTCTAAATTTACGATCGCGTTAAGAGACGGACGGATCTTTCAAAAAATTAATATTCCAGACGACACAGTTTTTACTTGCAACCACAATATTATGAAGGCGTTCTTTGGTTTGGGTAAAAACCACATATATCATGTCTTCGCTAATACAAAACAATGTACTCCAATCCAATAGCACCCTCCGTATATCTATGAGCTCCGTGCGCTACCAAAAGAGGGCGCCCTTTTACCTAGCAACGACGTCCCTTGGGCGGTACATTTCGCTGGTTGACGCGCACCGTTCCTTGTGTGTGATGCGCGTAAACCAGGGGATTTGTTCTATGTACACGCAGTGGCTGCGCACCCCCAACTGTACTTCCTTTGCCGGTGAGGGGGTACTTGTGCACGGAGCGGATATAGGTTTTCCCGGCTATTTTAAAAGATTTTTTCATTCAAATTCACCAACTCTGACTTTCAATTTCGTCCACGAAACAGGCACGCTTTTACCAAAACGAATTTAGTCATTTACCATACCATTTTAAAGTTTGGTCACCCTCTTAAGTAACTGGGTCTAGAACATTTGTCATTGCAGATGAAATTCCTCCAAGCTGTTGCCGAATGGCAGCATTCCTCTACGAATTTGATTTCTGATTAACAAGGTTTGGCGTAGACGAGACGAAATTCAGTACGCTGGGACGAAAACGTGTGCGCATTGTCTCAATTTGCTTGAATTTGAAATTGTTTGACAAAAGACAACATTAAACATTGAAAGTGCACATGGGCGTTGCCAGAATTTTTTCAAGAGGGTGGGGGGGAGCACATTTCCCCCCGAAATCCCTGTACTTTTCCAGCGTATTCTCGATTTATCATTGTTCGAGAGGGGCGGGGACATTCCCCCCCCCCCCCCGCCAACCCATTAAATTAATAGCAACACGACTCCGCGCCTCTTTTTCTTTTCTCTTTCCTTTTTTTCGCCTTTTTCTTTTTTTTCTTCTTTTCTAGCGGGGGAAAGTGCCCCCCTTGCCCCCCCCCCCGGGGCGACGCCCATGGCAGTGCAAAATCGATGTTGATGAACGAATTGGAATATTAGAAATGGGAATTCGAATGATAAAGGTTTTAAGGAAACGAGAAAACCTATATTACTCAAAAGCGGTATAAATGACAAATACAGTCAAGCTTCAACTTCTTATAGCACATTATGTCGAAAAACTTCACTTTTAAGGCACAATCATATTGTTCATATTAACAGCGGATTTGTTAACAGAAACATTACCTACAGGCCTACGCAATAAATTGGGAAACTTGATCAACATGTAATAGCCGTGCCATGTTCATTATTTACTAGAGACTAATAAAAAGAACGAGTTACATAAATCTTGCTTCTCAATGGAGTTCACTTGGTCCTAATATGGGACCAAATTAATGTTGTCGATGTGTCGTCTTTAGAACACCATTTCGGGCGATTCATAATGCAGTGCGCCACTAAGAGTTTGCCATGGAGAATCCATTTTTCAAGTTTACGGTTGACAAAACATGGCCCATTTCAATGAGCGTCAGTAGACAACTTGGGTTTATTTGTTATAGACTGGGGCATAGCGTTCTGCCGCCTTACAAAAAAAACACCATATTGATGAAAAGAAAAGAAAAGGGCAAACAGATACTCGAATCATACGCTTACGAAACTACAAACCGGAAAAACGAAGGATTTCAAATGTCCCGCGAGGCGAATTTGTCGACCATCTCCCACAATGCACTGGGAAAAATGAACTCTCCGTGGCAAACTCTTGGTGGCGCACTGCATTGTGAATCGCCCGAATTGACCGACGAGTGTGTCACTGGGTTAGGGTTAGGGTGTGTCACTGCATGGGTATAGAGGCATGACGGATCTGTAGAAAAGACACGGGCATTTAAGTTTCGGTGACCCAAAGCAATCGATTTTGTACCAAAGCCAAAAGTATTGTGGAACAAGATGAAAATGTAGGACACTCATCTTATAATGATACGAGATTGGATTGAATCTTAGCAAGTTCAAGCCTTGACATGCACATTAAATGAACACTTTTTACAGAACCGTAACGCAACTGGATCATAATTTGTATCCATTTGACTTGTTTTGATTGGGCCGAATCAACCACCAACAACCAGAAACTGGTAAATTAAAGATTGTATTGAAATACTCTTACCTTGGCTACGACAATGAACGCAACTACAAGGCACACGAAGCAGACACCGACAACCGCTACTCCAATGATCAGCTCTTTATAGGAAATGAAAAGCCGAATTGATGATCTGAATACAAACTCTTGGTGGCAGCAGACTTACTTGTCATGCGCATGCTCAGAATAAACGATAATTCCTTTCCCCTAGACTGTTTCCCGCCCCCCCCCCGCCTCCCTAACAATGAACAGTAATTTCTGTCTCTTTATTGATATTTCGTAAACAAAATTATATGTACCTGTTTCCATGGAAGACAATCCTTCGTTATTTCCTGTCACGAAGAAAACGCAACATATTTTATATTCAGCAACTGAAATCACTGAGCACTAACTGTCACGGCACTCTACATCTTTAGCAACAGCCAATCCTTTTTAAACGCTTGCCATTATGTGACCTGCCATAGCGTAATGAGGAGTTGAACCCCCTCCTTTGACTTTTCACGTTATCTTTAGCTTTCCAATGATACCAAATTTATTTCTGTACCTTCATTTATTCCAAATATATGACGCAGGAACTTCAATGGTGTCCTGACAAGTTTCTCTAACCTCACTTCGAGAAAAACGGCTTTGAAGAAAAGACACGCATTGCGCCACCACCGGCAGTAAAAAACGTTCTTCAGTTTTTCCTTCGGTTGGTACTTTTTTTCCCAACAGAAATGCATCGTGTGAAGCTTGGATACCTTGGCTACTCAAAAATACTAAACAATCAATATCGATTTTGGCATGATTTTTCTGGTATAGGCCTATCTGTGTCGATTACTCAAAACATTCCTCATTTTGCCTCAGTAGGTCACATATGGTATTCGGTATGACATTATGTCAAACATTTCAAATATAGCCTTATAATGGAAGAGTTGCTGCTGCACGTCGATAAGTTACTGTCTTTGCTTTGCTCTTCACAAAAAAATGTTCAAATATTTGTAAAAATGTTTAGCATCACAGGCAAAAAAAATGCCAGTTTTTCATGGCATTTAAAATATTTAAGTTTTTTTGCTCAACTTAAATCAGTATATGGAAGAAGTACTGAATATGATCAAACTCAACTGACCTTTATTAACCATGCGTGGGGCCTCCGGCTTCGGAATATCTGGCACTGTATCTGACACCATATTTGGCACTATATTTGATTACAAATTGAAGCAATTACCATGGTTACATTACGCGTAAATTTAGTTACAAAATGGCTAACTAAACTAACTTCACAGCTACAGACTCTTTTTTTTACTTTTCTTGTAGATGTTTGGCCATCAAATTCAGTTGATGGGTTGTTTATTTCAATGAACATTCAGGAAAACATTGCATCAAATTCAACAACGGAGCTACAAGTTTGATGTGACCCTCTAAAAGCATGAAGCTTTTCGTGTTTGTAAATTAATATATGACAGGGTTGTAAGGTTAGGCATCGTCGATATCAGAATTTTCAATAACAATATATCGGAAATCCAATATCGAGATTATTCGATAATATCGATTATCCCATGTAAAAGATGACACTTTGATTAAAAAATAAAATAAAATAAAATATTTTACTTCCAATTTCCCAAGGTTTTCTCTGGAGCATATCGCTCAAACTTTCTTTTCAGGTGTTACAGTGTGGGAGATCGCTAATTCCAGCGAACGTAGAGCACAAAGTGACGCCGCTTGGCATTTCGCAATTTTATATATTGAGTCACAAGCACAAAGTGACGCCGAGTTTTATTTCATTATACAGCAAGCGTTAAACACAAAGTAAAAGCACAAACAGCAGATTTATTTTGATATATTTCTGGTATTTTCGATATGATTCCTAAATATCAAAAATTTCGGTATTTTGATATTGTATTCTAATTTGAAGAATAGCAACTGTTATAAGAACTAAAAATTGCAACGTAATAGCAACTGTTATAAGAACTAAAAATTGCAACGTAAAAGTCCAGCACAAGTGCACCACAAGTCCAGTCAATGTAACTGGCTGTGAACGATAACAAAGGAATGCCTTTGTTACAATTCATTTGAATAGCTTGGCACTTCGAAGTTGCCAATAAAGTTCTTAACAGTAACAAGTTACTTGTGATGGACTTGTGAGTGAATGTGGGGATTTGTGAGAACTTGTGATAGACGCGACTACAACACTGAAAGAAATGGTAATCTGTCCACTTGCCTGCTACGTGGAGATAGGTGCTATCCATCTCCGATTCGCCGATCTGCCCGATCACGGTGGTAGCAGCGCACACGTAGGACCCCGTGTCGTTCTCCTGTAGGTTCTCAATGATGAGGTCGTAGTCTCCTACCTCAGGTTGGTCTTGCAAGCGGGTCCTGCCCTCCGGGAGCATCTCCGTACCGCTGACCTTCCGCCATAATACCGTGACGTCGGTGGAAGGCAGGTTGACCTGACAGCGCATGGTGACGCTGGCCCCGCGTTCCACGCGTCTGGGTGCGTGGATCATTACCGTCAACTCGTCTGTATAATGGGAAAAAAATCCACCGATTTTACTGCTGAAATTACGTTTTTATACGTTTGTACGTGTACTATTTTTGTGGAAGACGCCAGCTGCAATTGGCTGAAAACCACTGAAGGTAAATGGCTAGATCAAATGGCTAGACCACAGACGGACACAAGGGTTGCTATCCCCCGTACCCCAAAAGCATGTGAAACTGTGTGGTAATACATGCTATGCATGACCTTATCTGAAAGCATCAACAAGCTTTTATACTCATAAGAGATCGTGTTCAATAAAGAACCACCCATTCAAGGATGATCAGCACAAATGTTGTAATTATAGCTCCTCTTCCCCTAATTGTGTTAAAGATCGAAAAACAAGTTTCAGGATGAATGTCACATGTGTTGGAAAGTAAGGGACGGTTGCATTTTGTAAAATTTAAAAAAAAATGTAGTCAGAAGCGTCCTCTTATTGTGCAAAATGCCGCTACAAAGGCCCTTCAATTACCACCAAATTCATGTACAAGAGTGTATCGTGGCTATTGCTAAAAGCTTCCATCTAAACCAAAAAAATACATTTAGTTCCGATCGGATCAAGAAATATAAAAGACTCATCCACCTTTGTCGCACTTCATGCCGTCGAAGAGCGCCTCGCAACGACATTTGCCGTTCATTCTGCAGAGCGCATTGGAAACACAGGAGCATTTCAGTTGGTCTCCGAAGTCCCTGCAGTTTGGTTCCTCGTCTGGTGAATCCGTGTCGCCGTTCCCTGCTCCAGAACGCCCGCCTGGCCCGTCGTAGCACGCTAGGGGGAAACCACCGATAAAACCATCGGTAATTTTTTTCATTTCAATTTATTTTTTGCATAATTTTGTTTTAGACGAGGTCTATTCATATATGTTTAAATGCACGACCAGGCATCGATGAGGGCGCTGTACCGAAACGTCCATGCCTTTCGGGGTACAAACAGTTTATGCAGAGATATCTACTTTTTTTTTAGGAACTTGAGTTCAATCTAGAAAAATTAAAAGATTATAAATGTAATGTTTCATTAATATCAATATGTTAACCTTGTGCCAATAACCTTGGATTATGTTTACCCAAACAGTGTCGTTATAGCGCCCTCAATTTCGTGCAACGATACGGCGAATTCGCCAATCAGAAGCTTTGAGGGCGTATTATCTGTCATGCCGTATAGCCTTAAAACAGGCCATGTCCAACCTCGTCCCCAGTGCTCACTTTATTTCCAACCTAGTTTCCAATAGTAAGCCCTGGATAGGAAACTTTCTTCCTGAATCCTGATTCGTTACCGCAATTGGCTAGTAATGGATTTTTATCGTGTACTTGGTGCTATTATTCACAACGTGCAGTAGGCCTACGTGTTTTCGCGATCATTCGTCCACGCCTTCTCGAAAATACTAATTTCCTTTCCAAATTGCTCATATCTATATGAAATGTGATACTGCATGTTGTCTCGATATAAGATCGTAACTGTTTAATTCAAAAAATCGTGTTTTCGTAACTTACGCCGTGCTCGCGCTGCGACGAATTGACTCTGTTTTTTACCCCAGACACCGCATACAAAAACAAACGCTAATGTAACGCATATCCAGGCACCAGACTGTTCCTCATTTGCATACGTGTTCAAAAATCTTGCACATGCAAATGATCCAATGCCAGGGTGAGAGAGCAGGTAGTGATGGGCGCGTACTGTTCGACACCCTGGGGACGAGGTTGGGACAGATTCCTGGTGATGGTAAAGGGCGTTCTTACTCTGCAAGGCACATACATAGTGTACACGCCCACGGCAGGATTTTCGCGACCAGTTTCCGCCGTTCACATCGTCGTGGTTCAGGACTGCGCAGTTTCGACCGTCTTGCATGTTTTCGAGTTCTCCGTCACTCCATCTCCCGTACCTTTAGGTAGAAAAAGAAGAGGGTACGCTGCAAACAGCCGCAGGGTAAAACATGACAAGTAAACCGGAAAAGATACCATCATGTTTGACGCCTCCGTAACTTTGGCATGTCATGTTCAGATAATGAGATCCATAGAGGATGAAAGTCATTTCATTTAGTAAATGTAAAACTAGCGTACATTGTGGTGGCTTTTGAAGGGGAAAAAAAGGTCAAGCCAATCTGAAACGGGGTTGTAACTTGTGACAATACTCTGCATTTTGCTTACTGTCGGGCTGATGACGACTTCCGCTGCAGAGGACTGTGAAAATCCAACATCTTCTCACCAATGCTCATAATTATGCGTTCTTCTGAGCAAAAACATTTTAGTTAATCTCTAGTCCATTAGGCTATTCTGTTATGTATGCCTACCCACTGTGATCCAGAGGGCGTCCATCCACCCATCGCCATGTATCGTCGCCGTGATTGTAACGCAGTCCAAGCCACAAGGCGGGATGAACGTGTCGGGACAAAAATGCCTGGTGTTTTTTTTGGTGAAACAAAAGTTCAGCTTTTACAACTCAGAACCTCGATATATAAGGATCATATTGCTCAAGGTCAGGTGTGAAATCTTAATTAACTTACAATGTAATGTGCAGGCAGGATCTGAGTTTGAATAACTCCTGTATTGTTTCCTGTAGCTATCATTTCCAGGGCTAGGGGAAAAACACCCTGTTCATAAAGGCCTACCAAGCAAATTGAAGGTTGCCTTACATTGAGCTCGGCATCACGAACGATGGCGAGTTTCACCCCGTTCCCGAACCGGTCCTCACATTCCCTACTGGCGTCGTCCCAGTTCTTGGGTCTCCTGTTGTACCAATAGCACCGGTCACGGAAGAAGGTCCCTCCGTCCGGACACAAAGGCTCGCCACCTAAATGGGAATATCAAACCGATTCCAAATTGGGGATAAAACATCTTTTGGGACATTATTTACTACTTAAATGATGTCCTTTGACGTAAAACATCACCATAATCACAAAGTCACAAAATCCATAGTCTTTCAAGTGCTTTTATAATCATTACATAATAATGAAGCTCAAATAATGAAGTTCAAATCCATGTTGAGTTGAACGGAAATTAACAAAGTTATCGTGAGTGACAACAAAAGTAGTGGCGCCTTCTTAATTTACTGCAAACGGTTTTGGCACGCAACCAAGTCGACTGTTTTTCTCACGACACCGCGACAATCGGTGCCGTGAACTCTTGGTGGCGCACTGTACAGTGGAGTACGACGCCATTTAAAAATGACACAAGTAACAAGTTTCTTTGAGTTTGAAACAATTTAGCAATCTAAGAATTGGAAATGATACAGCTGTATAATGTTTGATTTTTTTAGCAACATGTTAACGTCTGTATAAGTTCCGCAATTCACGTCTTTTGTGTCCTTAAAATTGCGTTGTCCTCAAAATGGCTTTTGAGTTTGTCCTGTGACGTGACGCCATCTTGCGCATGTTATTTGGCCCACAGTTTATGTCAACATTTTAAAATCACTCGCCGAATGCAGTGCAGAAGAGAAGCGTTTACTTCAATTTGTCATGATCACGGACTTGTAACCGCATCACCCAGTTTTGTATTAATGATCTATAGGTGACACTCACGGGGTAACGCGCAGATCGCACCGTACCCGTACCCCGGGCGGTACGCGGCGTCGGGCGAATGACAAGATACGGCTTTCCATTTGCCGGTGGCTTTGCGTAACACTACGCAGTTTGTCGTGTTTTCTAGCGAGGCTTCGGCAGCGTCAGCGCTGCCAGAGCTGGCGTCACCTCGCTGATCCGTTCCGCCACCTGAATTGAAGTTCCTGTAGACGGGGTCACCGTTTGAAGAAAAACACTGGAAAGCTACTTCATAATTACGTTACAAATGATCAGTGGAGAACGATACAGCTTATTCAGGTTACCATCCCACCAACTGGGGCGCTAGAACTCCTTTTTTGACATTTGACAATATGTTAGATCACAGCCATAAACATTATTGAATGATCGCTGTATGATAGACCTGTGCTATAGTGGTTGAATTTCATGGATTAATTTGCAACCCCAAAACTAATCGTGAGTATCATTGAAGCCGCATTACTCCGTCTTTGACATGTGGAGAAGCCAGTAGGTGCTATGAAAGTTTTCTGCGTGATTTTTGGCAATTTTTGTGGTGAAGTTTGGAAATTGAAACATTGAGAATACCTCTTTAGTGGGAAATGTCAAAAAAGGAGTTCATTCATATCATGAATGCTCTGGCCACTTCTGCAAACAGCAGAATGTAAATCTCCATAAATTACTAACGTGTAGTTGACGGTGGTGTCATCGACCCATCTCCAGCTGCCTTCCTGGTGTGTGTCATGGAGCCCAATCCACATGTCTTCAGTGATTTTATCTACTATGAAATCCTGACATAATTGTAGAAAAAAAAACAGGAAGTGCAATCGGAACAATATGAGATCGAGGTGGCAGTGTTTTGATCCCCGAGTATCAGTATTTCACTATCTTTTTATAAAAATGCACCATGCCGGCCGTACGCTAGCCATGTCGTCAGCATCTATCTAAGTTATATAAAAGGAAGCTTCGTTGGAACTTTTATAAGTTCCTGTTTACAAGTTTCGTCTTTTTTTCAGGATTTAAAAAGACGAAACACAGCAGCTCCCGAATTATGAAATTCTGACATTCTTGTATGGCATTGATGTTCGTAATAAGTTTCAAGTTGATCCGTACCGTTTGGAGGAAACGTCGCGTAGAATTATCATACAGAAAGAAAAAACAAACATTAGTCGACCGGTACAGTTTCCATGAGGATTCAAGACATATTTGAAAGATATATTCATGAACATATACCAAGTCAACTTTATCAAGATTGGTAAAGCCTGTCCATGTATCTAGAAGATTGACCTACCACCTCCTAACGTAACCCATATAAGGCTAAGATACCAGAACCTTGATTCAGCAGAACGGTGTTTAACTCATTCAAAAGGTATTTAATTTTCAATTTGCCAAGACCTAACTCTCAAATTTAAGTTGGATAGGCCTAATCATAAATTAGGTGCTGTTTTAGGATTTGGTGGTTTACAAGATGAACAGTAAAGTGTAATGACAAATGATGAGACTTTTTCAGATAATTTTCAAAATAAACGTTTATATATATTCTGTTAGCCTGTAGCGCCCTCTATAGTTGGTTTCCATGACAAACAAAGATACTTTTAGAAAGAGCTATTCATGAATATTAATGGTGCTAAGTTTGATTAAGATCAGTCAAGGGTGTGTTTAGGTTATGGCGTTTTATTTCTTCCCCTTCCAAGCCTTGTGCTAAGAAAATGCATGTGAGCTCAATCACAGGCTGTTCCAATAAGTGGCCGCCTGCCTAAGAGAGTGCATCCCTAAATGTTCACTGTTAACATTTTTTTCCTACTAGGGACATGCCAAGGATTAAAGAAAAAACACCGGTGGCGGTGGGTTCTGGTGGAGGCGCACTGGGTAACATCCCCCCCCCCCCCGCCCCCCTCCGTAGCCTACGGAATACATCAATTATTTCAATCAGATTATTTCAATCAAACAACACTGTTCAAGCCAAGGACGGATCCAGAACACAATTTTTTCGGGAGGGGGGCAAAAAAATTTTGGTCCGCAAAAAGTGTGTCCAAAAAATTACGGCGTGGGTTTCGAGGCCCGCTTAAGGGCCCCGAATATTTTTTGATTCTAGATGCTCAGTGGTGCGATCTGAGGCAATTTCTGACCACTTTAACCAATGTTTTTTGAGGAAAAGACGGTGGTTTACTCATTGCTTGCCGTTATTACGAAGTCATCTAAAAAAAAAAAATTGGATTCGTTTTTTTTTGGGGGGGGGGGGCATGGCCCCCTTTGACCCCCCCCCCCCCCCCCCCCGGATCCGCCCTTGGTTCAAGCCATGCAGTACAAATAGGAATTTCTCTTTTCTGAAATCATAGGACGAATAAACTGTTTGGCTTCTCACATTCATGGCCTGATCGACTATGGTGACTAGATGAGCGCCGTTTTGTAGATCATTGCAGCCAACATGATTGGCATACAGCCACATGGAGTGACGACGGGATACATAAAGGCATTCTCCTGCGTAGGGAACACTGTCTGGACCGCAGGACAAGACAGGAGGCACTGTGGTCGTTGCGGCTCTGCCCACTGGAGGAACAAATCATAACGAAAATCGTACTCAGTATGGAGGAAGGAATCCAAATAAACAAACAACCAAACAAACAAAGAAACAAATGTATATGAACAAACAGACCACAAGTATGACAGTTCCATATTTCATCAACCATATGGAATCTGTATTGCATTTTGTTTAAGATCAACTACTAGTGGGGGGGGCCAATGTACTTCCGTTGGCATGTCATGTTAATTTATGGCAACCATTATAAATGTCATCTTATGAGTCCTGAGAACAAGAAAATTGATGTTGCCATTTTTTCCATTGACCTTTAGTGACCTTGACCTGAGGTCAAAGTTCATGGGTCATTTTCACCTAAAATTTGCCTTTCGGAAGGGTTTGCGAAGATTTTCCAGGCAAGTGAGCACACATTGTATTTGGTTGAGAGTTTCTCCGTTATAATAAATGTTATTATTAATGTATTTATGGGTTTTCCTGAAGAAAACATGGGAAAATGTCACTTTTGCCCGAAAAGGGCCGGGTTGTTTTGACCATCTCACGCAGATTCCGGCCCCCCCCCCCCCCATGACCTCGGCCATCGAGTGACGAACAATTATGAAACTTGGTACATGCATAGAACAACTTAACATGAACAAACCCAAGAAATTTCATGACTATGGGTTAAAGGGTTTTGGAATTACGGCTAATTAATTATTCATAAGCACGTATGGTAATTCAATTGTGTACACTACGTATAATGGGGAAATTCAGTTTTGACGGAGGGTAGCGCCGAAAATATTTCGCTGCGCGGCAACCTGTGGTTCGAATTTTGTTTTTGGTATCAAAAGATGTGCAAGACTCGAGGCTAAAAAGTCAGGACAGCTCAGGCCGTGAAATAAATAATTGTTTTCAAGAGTATCGCGGAAAAAGTTGAAAGAGGGAAAATCCGCCCCCCCCCCCCCCCTTTTAGGGCCTAAATATGACCAACCCTTTAGTGCCTGGCATCTAAATATGAAATGTTGTAAAGTGTCCTCTGCAGTACCACACTCGCACAGGGTGTTTGTCGGTTGAGGAAAATCCCCACTTCTTTTGGTGCGAGCCACTCCAGAGCGGAGGTGATTTAAGCACCTCCAGGTCTTCAATCCTGCATTGGATCCTGCAGGTAAGGCTTCTGCAGGCTTGATTGGCATCTCATGTAGTGGGGGAGACGCCACCAGTCTGGTCAACCCAGGAGGCACACACTTGGGTCTTAATAGCAGGGTTGATCGCTTTCAGGTGACTCACAGTGAAGCACTGCTGTGACTGGTCAAGAACATCGGTCAACGTCTTCCCTTGGGGGACCGTTCCTTTGAAGACGTACTCTACTCTGCCTTTGAATACTACAAAGAAACGATGGTTCTTCAATAGAACACCAATAAACTGGATAAGGGTCAGGTCTGCTGTCATGTCCAGGATCTTCTGAAGGAGTCAGCAACGGTTAACACTGTCAAAAGCAGCTGTAAGATCAACAAAGACAGCGCCGGTGATATATTTTTTCTGATGGAAGCAGTCCTTAATGTACTGAGTGAGGTTTAGAAGCTGTCCCGTTGTAGATTTGCCGGGACGGAAGCCTGCCTGCCTGTTCCTGTATCAGTTGTTTCTCAATGAAGAGGCAAGAAGGTTGAGGAGGAAATATTCCAGCAACTTGAATGTGTGACTTTGGGACGATAAGTTTTGACATGCATTGGGTCTTTTCCGGGTTTTAGGAGGGCGATGACCTTCGACTTTTGCCACACTTTAGGTATTGTTTGTGTGGCGAGGCAGGTGTTGATGAGCTGGAGTAACCAATTTGAGGCGTTTGGTCCAAGATGTTTCAGTTCTTTGGTGAAAATGTTATCCAGTTTGGTTGATTTCCTGTTCTTTATTTATGCCAGTCACAAGTTTATTAGCAGAGAAGGATTTGATGAAGCCAATAAGGTCGATGGCGAGGTATTTCTGGCGGAGCTTGGCTTTCGGTCGCTTATCAGGAGAACGTGGCACTTTACCATTTAAATAGCAGTTGTTGTGGGCTATTTTGTTGGCGGTGATGTTACAATGCTGTTCACTTGGCTGAGCTTTTTTTTATATTATACTCCAGGCTTGGAGGCCATATTGGCTTCTTGGCCATATTGGTGGTTACCACAGGGGTTTGCCACAAGCTTTGAAGCTGTTCTGATATGGCTGTTATTAATTCCTCCTCAGATGAGATGGTATCGACAGCAAGAGAGTCGTTTCATACATGCGTCTCTATTTCCTGTAAAGTTCAGCACTACGGGATGCTGCTAGGCCTGGGATGTAATCAGTGCGGCAGCCCGTAGGGATGTTCTTGCACCACCACATCAACAAACCGGTGTCATAGTATTCAGGGGTTGGATCAATGTCAGCTAGATGGTGTTTGAGCTCATTGGTGAAGCCTCCACAGTTGGCCTTACTAAGTTAAAACAGCGGTGGAATGGAATTGTTGCAAAGAGACAGCAGCAGTCACTTTGATTCCAATAGGGCGATGTCGGGTCTTTGGAATGGGGTCAAGGACCATCTTGTTGCTAAGTGAGGCGATGTTGGAGCTCACAAGGGCTAGAGCAGGGTTGAAACTTTATCTCCAGCCGCCACTATGGAAAAACTTCGACAGTTTCGCATTGTGCATGCATGCAACTGTAAACTCAACAAAAAAGAGGAAATTCCTAAATTCAGAAGACTTTGTACAGTGATTTTCAATTTTGAATGGCAGAAATGAGAATAAAAAAAGAGGAAATCAGCTGATCCGAGGAAAAGTTGCATGCCTGATTGTGAATAAGGCTCAGTTGACTTGCTTCGGCCAGCGATTCAAAAGCGTCGACGTCTGTGCTGGAATGATAGCCAATGATGCTGCTGTGGCTATTAAATCGCCGATAATTATGCGTGGCTTGGGCTGTTTTGTGGATTGTGGCGGTGGCATTAGGATGGAAGACCTGGAGGTGCTCAAATCACCTCCGTTCTGGAGTGGCTCGCACCAAAAGCACCATGAAGAAGTGGGGATTTTCCTCAACCGACAAACACCCTGTGTGAATGCGGTACTGCAGAGGACACTTTACAACATTTCATATTAAAAATGCCAGGCCCTAAAGGGTTGGTCATATTTTGGCCCTAAAAGGGGGCAGATTTCCCCCCCCCCCCTTTCAACTTTTTCAGCAATACTCTTGAAAAGTTATTTATTTCGCGGCCTGAGCTGTCCTGACTTTTTAGCCTCGAGTCTTGCACATCTTTTGATACCAAAAACATAAAAATCGAAACACAGGTTGCCGCGCAGCGAAATATTTTCGGCGCTACCCTCCGTCAAAACTGAATTTCCCCATATACGTAGTGTACACATTTGAATTACCATATGTGCTTATGAATAATTAATTGGCCGTAATTCCAAAACCCTTTGACCCATAGTCATGAAATTTCTTGGGTTTGTTCATGTTAAGTTGTTCTATGCATGTACCAAGTTTCATAATTGTTCGTCACTCGATGGCCGAGGTCATGGGGGGGGGGGCGGAATCTGCGTGAGATGGTCAAAACAACCCAGCCCTTTTCGGGCAAAAGTGACATTTTCCCATGTTTTCTTCAGGAAAACCCATAAATACATTAATAATAACATTTATTATTATGGAGAAACTCTCAACCAAATACAATATGTGCTCACTTGCCTCGAAAATCTTCGCAAACCCTTCCGAAAGGCAAATTTTAGGTGAAAATGACCCATGAACTTTGACCTCAGGTCAAGGTCACTAAAGGTCAATGGAAAAAATGGCAACATCAATTTTCTTGTTCTCAGGACTCATAAGATTACATTTATAATGGTTGCCATAAATTAACATGACATGCCAACGGAAGTACATTGGCCCCCCCCACTAGCAGGTGAAAGTTGCGTTTTTTACATATTGCTGATACTTGATCGCTCATGGATAGATGGCAGTCGAGGATTACACCTAGATTTCTGCACTTGGAGGATGACTGAATTACAGTTTCACCAATGACGATGCGGTAATACTGTGAGTAATCGTTTTGGCTGACAAAGTGTGCAATTGAGAGTTTTTTGGTGGGGTATGCCTGAGATCAAAATCACTTGTGAAATGCGATCAAAACCTCGGTTTGCTCCATAATTATACTCCCCTGATCAGTCTGCACTATTTTGGAGCTATACGGCACTATTTTGGAGCTATTTTACGGCGGGAAAAAGACTGTTAATAGTAGTAGTAGAAACATTTATTCAATGTTGCCATTTCCACACAATAAAATGTTACAATGCCGTGTAAACATTATTATACAGAATAAAATGCAATGAATTATGTAATTGTGTATTTACGCTTACTTGAACAGAATGCTCGTAAAATGAGGATTTTGTTTTAAAATTAATATTTAATTATGGTTTTCCCAGTTACTTCAACAATTGTATAATATAGCATTCCTTGGAAAGATACTTTAATGTCGTTCCAGAACGTCGTTGGGCTCCATTGTTTATTCCGAATTCGAATGTAATTCCTATTATGTCTCCAGTGTAATTCGCAAATATAATATAAAGCATTCAGATTCGTCCACGTTTCGGGAAATTCGTCTAATGTGGAGATAGGTGTTGAATTAAAAAAACATGCTTTATTATTTTTAGCTGTTTCGGTAACACACCGAAACAGCTCTTGTTTTCATTAAGATTTTTTTTTTTCTTTTTTCTTTTTTTTTTTTTTTTTTTTTTTTTTTACCCCCCCCTCCTTTTTCAGACTTTTTCTCCATAGGTTTAACACACGTTTCTTCTACCAATCCACTTTGCCACTTTTTAAAATCCGATTCATTTCAGACTTGGTACATACTTAGACCACCACCCACAGATGGTCCTAGAAGAAATTTGTGATCGTGACGTCATCAGGTGTCAGGTTACGTCACATTAAAGATGCATTTTTCCCCATATGTTTTGTACACGTTTTAAAACACACCAGTTTGGCATCTTCGTAAATCCGATCGACTTTAAACTTAATTCATACTTAGACCACCACCCACA